CGGAGTAGGGCACTCACTCCCTCCCAGGACAAGTCACGATACACCACAATGCTCTGTGTACATGTCACTATACACCACTATGCTCTGTGCACATCCCCCACTATAAACGACACACCGCTATACACTACACATGCTATGCACATACCATGCAAATGATACGCACTATACACTCTATACACTATACACACGGTGAACAAACACTCCATTGTTGTAACACGAGCACACGGTGCATGCGCTACTGTTTGGGGAAGGGAAAGGGGGAAGGGGGGACACAATTATATATATATATATATATATATATATATAAATATATATATATATATATATATATATATATATATATATATATATATATATATATATATATATTGTACTTTAGACCACTATACCACACACTCCTTAACAATGGTGCATCCAGCCAAGCTAGATGTTGTACTGGCCATCGAAGGACATACGGTGGTGTGGACGCCTCTGAGTTAATTTCATTTTACTCCCTGTTTGTGTACGGACATGTAGATAGAATGGAGCGAAACAGAATGACTTCAAGAGTGTATCAGTCTGTAGTGGAAGGAAGGCGGGGTAGGGGTCGGCCAAGGAAAGGTTGGAGAGAGGGGGTAAAGGAGGTTTTGTGTGCGAGGGGCTTGGACTTCCAGCAGGCATGCGTGAGCGTGTTTGATAGGAGTGAATGGAGACAAATGGTTTTTAATACTTGACGTGCTGTTGGAGTGTGAGCAAAGTAACATTTATGAAGGGATTCAGGGAAACCGGCAGGCCGGACTTGAGTCCTGGAGATGGGAAGTACAGTGCCTGCACTCTGAAGGAGGGGTGTTAATGTTGCAGTTTAAAAACTGTAGTGTAAAGCACCCTTCTGGCAAGACAGTGATGGAGTGAATGATGGTGAAAGTTTTTCTTTTCCGGGCCACCCTGCCTTGGTGGGAATCGGCCAGTGTGACAATAAAAAAAAAATTGTGTACTAGATCAACAAGCAGTATATTATATTACTGTACCCACGAAACGAGTGGTATTGATAAAGCTTGGCCGGATGCGCCATTGTTAAGGATTGTGTGGTCTAGTGGTGTGTGTGTCTGTGTGCGTGTGTGTGTGTGTGTGTGTGTGTGTGTGTGTGTGTGTGTGTGTGTGTGTGTGTGTGTGTGTGTGTGTGTGTGTGTGTGTGTGTGTGTGTGTGTAAATATTATTGCAACCACGAACGAGTGGTATTAATCAATAAAAACACTGCGACTAGCCGAGGATTCGAACCCATGTCGTTTTGGCCCACCGTCATGTGTGAGGGAAAATCACACATGACGCTCTGACCCACAGGACCAAGCAATCCTATAAGAATGACACACTCAGCACAGCTAGGTGTTTTACCGTCATCCGAGGACACACGGTGGTGTGGGTCGCAATGTTGTTCTTGATTAATAGCACTCGCTCGTGGTTACAATAATATATATATGCTGCTCGTGAGGCTAGTACACCAAACGGCGAGTAGAATGAAATTAGCTCAAAGGCACCCACGCCACCGTATGTCCTCGGATGACAGTGAAACACCTAGCCCTATTGGGTGCGTCATTCTTGTAGAAATGCGCGGACCCGTGGGTTACAGCTTGGCTTTGGGGTCTCTCAAGGAAGTGAAGCAGCTGTTCATGCAACAAGGGCGTATATCAACAACCTGCCTGAGGACAATGAAGTGGTAAAATTAGATTTCAAGAATGCGTTCAATCTCCTGAAAAGAGACGTGGTATTAGCAGCAGCACAAGAACATTTCCCTGGTCTCTTCCCTTTTGTTTCAACTGGGTATAGCAAGGAATCAATGCTTCTCTTTGGAGAGCATGAAATCACATCATCGGAGGGTGTCCAACAAGAAGATCCTCTTGCACCATTTCTCTTCTGTATAGCAGTTAGGGAAATCACAGTCAGACTGACCAGCGCGCTAAACATCTGGTTCCTAGATGATGGCACACTAGCAGGTACAAAGGAGTCCCTCCTACATGACCTTACACAGGTAATGACTCGGGGACAGGAAATGGGTCTCATCCAGAATCCATCCAAATGTGAAATCATCTCAGTCAGTCAACAAGTGATAAATGCAGTGAGATCAAAACTACCAGGAGCAGCAGTCATTGCCCCCACAAACAGTGTCTTGCTAGGAGCACCTCTGGGAAGCAATGCCATTGACACAATTCTCAGAAAGAAATTGGAAGAGTTAAGGAGAATGGAACAACGAATAGGCAATCTGGACACCCACGATGCCTTGTACCTTCTCACAAAGTGCTTGAGTCTGCTCAGGTTGACATATTTCCTAAGATGTGCACCTTCATATGATAACCCTATACTGCACGAATATGACAGTATTCTGAGGCAGATTTTTACGAAAGTACTTAACCATACTCTAGAAGACGGGCAGTGGAACCAAGCTACACTTCCAGTCAGACTAGGAGGCATTGGTGTCCGCAAGTCATCACAGATTGCGTTACCTGCTTTTCTGTCCTCGTGCATTGCATCCAGAGATCTTGTAGCAGCGATTCTCCCTGAACATCTTAGGGACAAGATTGGAGTCCAGGACCAAAAATTCATTGACGGAGCAATGATCTGGGATAATCTAACGGGCTCTGAAACCAGAACTGCTCCCCCTAACAACTACAAACAATCGCACTGGGATGGTCCAATAGTGGAAAATATTGCCTCAACAATGCTTCAGAGTGTGTCAGGGAAGGATAGAGCCCGCCTCCTGGCAGTGAGAGCCCCTCATGCTGGGGACTTTCTGTTGGCTGTTCCCAACTCCAGCCTTGGCACACGCCTCGACCCAGAGACCATCCGCATCGGTGTTGCCCTTCGACTTGCCGCCCCTATTCTCGCCGAACACAGGTGTATTTGTGGCAGTAAAGCAGCAGACCGATTTGGGTACCATGGTCTTGTGTGCCGTAAATCCGAGGGAAAGATTTCAAGACATGAGGAGGTTAATAACATTATCAAGAGGAGCCTCACAACAGCTGGATGCCCAGCAGTAAGGGAGCCACCCCAACTATGCAGATCTGATGGCAGCCAGAAGCATCCAGATGGTATCACCCTTCAAGCCTGGACAGATGGGAAGCAGGTGGTGTTGGACTATACATGTGCATCTACCTTGGCTGATACCTATCTCCAATACACCAGGGAGGAAGGAGGGGCAGCTGCCAGCTTCAGGGAGTCCCAAAAGTCTAGAAAATATGGAGAACTTGACCATCATTATATGTTTGTTCCCATATGCTCGGAGACCCTTGGCTCATGGGGAAAGAGTGCATCTAAATTCCTTAAGGAGCTGGGGAAAAGACTCAACAGGGTAACTAGGGATCCCAGGGCAGCTAGTTTTCTGTTCCAGCGGCTCAGTGCGGCTGTTCAAAGGGGTAATGCCTGCTGTATTTTGGGCACACGCCCCAGCTCTGAGGAGATGGATGAGATTTTCGCCTTATAATCGGTGATACACACGTAACAACATGTACCGTATATGCCACCTTTATATCAACAATGTATCTCTTAACTCTTCTGTACCATATTATGTAATAAAATATTCCTATTGGTAAAAAAATAAATATATTAAAAGATGGGGTGGTAGGGGAAGTGGAATATTCAAACGGCTTCAGGAAGAAATCCAAATATTCTTCCTTGAAGCCTTTTTATCCATTATATATATATATATATATTATATATATATAATATATATATATAAATATATATATATATATATATATATATATATATATATACATATATACATATATATATATATATATATATATATATATATATATATATATATATAATATATATATTATATATATATATTATTGTACCCAACGAGTGGAATTGATCAATAACAACACTGCACTAGCCAAGGAGTCGAAACCATGCTGTTTTGGCCCACCTCATGGTGAGAGAAAACGCACGACACTTTAGACCACTATACCACACACTCCTTAACAATGGTGCATCTAGCCAAGCTTGATGTTGTACTCGCAATCGAAGGACATACGGTGGTGTGGACGCCTTAGAGTTAATTTCATTTTACCCCCTGTTTGTGTACCAGATCAACAAGCAGTTTATTATATGGCTCACGAAATCGTAATGACACGATTGCAAATAAACCATACCCCAGGCGGGGATAGAACCCGCGATCAGAGAGTCTCAAAACTGCAGACCGTCGCTGGTCCAGTGGCTAAAGCGACAGTCTGGAGTTTTGAGACTCTCTGATCTCGGGTTCTATCCCCGCCCGTGGTATGGTTAGTATATTATATTACTGTACCCACGAAACGAGTGGTGTTGATCAAGCTTGGCTGGATGCGCCATTGTTAAGGATTGTGTGGTCTAGTGGTCTAAAGCTTCATGCGTTTTCACTCACCATGAGGCGGGCCAAAACAGCATGGGTTGGACTCCTTGGCTAGTGCAGCGTTGTTATTGGTCAATACCACTTGTTCCGTGGGTACAATAATATAATATTCTGCTTGTTGAGCTAGTACACAAACAGTGAGTAGAATGAAATTAGCAAAGAGACGTGCACACCAGCGTATGTCCTTCGATGGCGGGTGCAACATCTAGCTTGGCTTGGATGCACCATTATTAAGAATTGTGTGGTCTAGTAGTTAGTCTAAAGCGTCATGCGTTTGCGTTTTCACTCACCATGAGATGTGTGTGTGTGTGTGTGTGTGTGTGTTTGTGTGTGTGTGTGTTTTTTTGTGTGTGTTTGTTTGTTTGTGTGTGTATGCGTGTGTGTGTTTGTGTGTGTGTGTGTTTGTGCATGTATGTGTGTGTGTGTGCGTGTGTGTGTGTGTGTGTATGTGTGTATGTGTGTGTGTGTGTGTGTGTGTGTGTTTGTTTGTGTGTGTATGTGTGTGTGTGTGCGTGTTTGTTTGTTTGCTTGTGTGTATGTGTGTGTGTGTGTGTGTGTGTGTGTGCGTGCTTGTTTGTTTGCTTGTGTGTGTGTGTGTGTGTGTGTGTGTGTGTATGTGTGTGCTTTTCTTATGAGTTCTTCCTCTACATTACCTAATAAACAAAGCTGTGTTCGATTCCGCAGCTCCGATTACCAGGTCTGAGTAACCGTTGTCGTCCATGTCGAGGCCACCATCTAAGCTGAAGCCAAAGCCACGCAGCCCCTCCGAGAAAGCGGAAGCCTCTATCATCTGCCGGATATGACCCTCTTATACTTTCTTGTTATTGTTTTTGTGAGACGCAACTCTGGTATCAAGAAGAATTTTTTATGAACTCGAAAAATACACTTTCCAATATGTATATATATATACAATATGCATATATATATATACATATATAATATATATATATATATATATATATATATATATATATATATATATATATCTATATATATATATATATATGTATGTATGTATATATATGTACATTCACACCATGTGTGTATATGCAGTATATATAACATGTATGTATACATACACATGCTGAAATATACAGGGTGATTCAAAATGATGGACCCGATTTGAAATCGTAACATTTTGACTTTGGAATCATAATTATGAAGCACCCTGTTCGTTAAATAAGGAGTACACTTATTGAAACTTGTTAATAAGAATTATAAACTCAACGTCACTTACATTACTATAAGAGGAGGGTGACTAAGGTGAGTCAGTGGATGAGACAGTGATAATGTGAGTCACTTAGTCTGTAAGTTGGTCAGTGAGTGGATAAGTAAATGAGAAGGTGAGTGGGTGAGTTAGTAAGTCACTGAGTGGATGACAGTGAAAGAGTTAGTCTTTAAGCAAGCGAGTCAATGAGTGGGTGAGTCAGTGAGTCAGTGAGTGGGTAGGATAAGAGGGAGACTGCATCGTGTGTGTGAAGGATTAGGATCCAGCAATAATCAGGATCTAGGCGAAGTGAGAGAGAGAAAGAGAGTGAGAGAGAGAGAGAGAGAGAGAGAGAGAGAGAGAGAGAGAGAGAGAGAGAGAGGAGAGAGAGAGAGAGAGAGAGAGAGAGAGAGAGAGAGAGAGAGAGAGAGAGAAGAGAGGGAGAGAGACAGACAGACAGAAACAGAGATCTGGCTATGCTGTGTAAGACAAATGGGACTCAACATTCCTGGAATATGACGGGAATCATGGCTTTGGAATGTGAGGGGAAATCACGTTCTTCTAATGTGACTGTGACGTTGCCATGGCAATGTGAGAGGAACGTGTATTTGTGGGGATATGAATGAAGGTGTGAGATGATGTTGACAGTGTTGTGAAGGGGAACTGGTGAAGGTTGGCGAGTGGTGGTGGACTGGTGGAGGTTGACTGGTGGAGGTTGATTGGTGGAACTTGACGGGTGGAGGTTGATGGGTGGTCTACCTAGAGTCTACCTGGAGGGCATTCCGGGGATCAACGCCCCCTCGGCCCGGTCCACGACCAGGCCTCCCAGTGGATCAGGGCTTGATCAACCAGGCTGTTACTGCTGGCCGCACGTAATCCAATGTACTAAACACAGCCCGGCTGATCCGGCACTGACTTTAGGTATCTATCTAGCTCCCTCTTGAAGGCAACCAGGGGTCTATTGGTAATGTCCCTTATGGCTGGTGGGAGGCTGTTGAACAGTCTCGGGCCCAGGTCACGTATTGTGTTTTCTCTTAGTGTACCAGTGGCGCCCCAACTTTTCATTGGGGGTATGTTGCATCGCCTGCCAAGTCTTTTGCTTTCGTATGGAGTGATTTCTGTGTGCATATTAAGAACCAGTCCCTCCAGAATCTTCCAGGTGTAGATTATGATATATCTCCCATGTTTGCGCTTTAGTGAGTACAGGCCAGGTGCTTCCAGGCGCTCCCAGTAGTTAAGGTGTTTAATCGAGCTTATCGGTGCATTAAAGGTTCTCTGTACATTCTCTAGCTCTGCAATTTCATCTGCCTTGAATGGGGATTTTAATGTACAACAGTATTCCAGCCTAGAGAGAACAAGTTAAAAAGGATCATGATTGGCTTAGTATCTCTTGTCTTGAATGTTCTCATTATCCATCCTATCAGTTTCCTCGCAGATATGATAGTGGCATTGTTGTGGTCCTTGAAGGTGAGATCTTCGGACATTACCACACCCAGGTCCATAACATTACTTTTCCGCTCTATTGTGTGATTAGACTTTGTAGTATACTCAGTCGTAGCTATTATTTCCCCTAGTTTTCCATAACGGAGTACATAGTTGGAATTTGTCTTCATTGAACATCATATTGTTCTCCGTTGCCCATTGGACAACTTGGTTTACATCTTCATGGAGATTTGACATGTCCTCAATAGATGACACTCTCATGCAGATCCTGGTATCGTCTGCAAAGGATGATACAGTTCTATGGTTTACAGGATAGGGGCGAATATCTTCACTATGGCAGCTTCCGATTTAATTCTATTTCCCACTACTCTGTGTTCGATTGGTTTGAAAGTTGAAGATCCATCTGCCTACTTTGCCATTTATCCCTTTAGCACGCATTTTATGTGCTATTACACGATCGATCACACTTGTCAAAGGCTTTTGCAAAATCTGTATATACTACATCTGCAGTCTGTTTTCCAGTGCATCCAAGACCATATCATAGCTGCGAGAAGCAGGAGCGACCTGCTCTGAAGCCATGTTGCCCTGGATTGTGCAATTTTTGGGAGTCCAAGTGGTTTGCTTTCCTGCTTCTTGGAGCTCTTTCAAAGATTTTTATGATGTGGGACGTTAAAGCTATTGGTCTGTAGTTCTTAACTACTGCTTTGCTGCCACATTTATGGAGTGGGGCTATATCCGTTGTTTTTAGTGACTGTGGAATCTCACCTGCGTCTATGCTTCTTCTCCACAGCATACTTAGGGTCCGTGAGAGGGGTTTCACGCAGTTTTTTATGAACACAGAGTTCCACGAGTCTAGGCCTGGGGCTGAGTGCATGGGCATGTCGTCAATGTCTTTCTCAAAGTTTGAGTTAAGTCAGAAATTTGGCATACATTGGCAGGGTTTTGAGGCTCATTCATGAAAAAATTGCTTGGATTGTCTATCTTTAGATTGATCAGTATCTCACTCAGTTCTTTGTTGTCATCTGTGTAGGATCCGTCTTGTCTGAGAAAGCCCAATACTAGAAGTGGCTTTTGCCTTTTTTTGGCATATGAAAAGAAACATTTCGAATTTCTTTCAATTTCACTAATCACTTTTAGCTCCTTTTGTCTCTCCTGGATCCTGTACGAGTCCTTAAACTTTTGCTGAGTATTTTCCACTTCCTTGGTTAGCGCTTCCTTTTGTGTTTCAGATAATCTGGCATTCTTGAGAAGCTCAGTGAGTCTTCGCCTTCTCCTGTTGTATATGTTCCCCATCAGTAAAATGGGTGCCTGGGTGTTAGTCGACTGGTGTGGGTCGCATCCTGGGACACTGACCTAATTTGCCCGAAATGCTCAGCATAAGGGGCTTTCTGTATAGTAGTATGTCATTGATGTCAGCTAGACCTGTATACCTTGCACATGTACTTCTAGTAAATGAAGATATGATTATTATAATAATAATGATAATAATAATAATAATAATAATAATAATAATAATAATAATAATAATAATATTATTATTATTATTATTATTATTATTATTATTATTATTATTATTATTATTATAGTTTACCTGATCCCAGTTGATGTTCTTGCTGTTGAAATTGAATTTGGAAAAGTTACCTTCATAACTGCATGCATTGTGCTGATCAGGACCCCTATGCATGTAAGTCTGGACTTCGATTAGAATGTGGTCAGAATTAGTTGTTTTTGATATTGTTATTTTTCTTACCAGGTCCTCATTATTTGTGAAAATAAGGTCAAGTGTGTTCTCCAGTCTTGCTGGCTCCACTATCTGCTGACTTAGGGTGTGTTTACTGCAGAAATTCATCAGCTCCTGTGTGTGTGACTTTTCATCTGAGCTGCCTCCAGGGATTATTTCTGCTACAACATTATTTGCTACATTCTTCCATTTTGTATGTCCTAGATTGAAGTTATCAAGCAGCAAGATGTTTGGGGATGGGGTTGAAAGGTTTTCCAGACAGGAGTTAATTTTTGAAAGCTGTTCTTTAAACTGTTGGGAAGTTGCATCTGGTGGCTTATATAGAAGCACAATGACTAAGTTTTCGTTCTCGAATTTTATTGCTAGAACTTCAACTATATCATTTGTGGTGTTCAGTATCTCCATGCAAATGAGCGACTCTGACATACAGGCCAATCCCCTTTGTTTCCTGTTCTTTCTGTCACATCTGAAAAGGTTGTACCCAGGTATCCATATTTCATTATCAAAGTAATCTTTTGCGTGGGTCTCTGTGAAGGCTGCAAACATTGCATTTGACTCCCTTAGAAGTTCACTAATGAAAGGTATTTTGTTGTTGGTGGATGGCTTATGGCCCTGTATATTAGCAAATATAACTGAGGTTATGTTACATGTTTGTTGGGGGGATTTTGTTATTGGCATTAGTAGGTGTGAACCAGAAGGGCTCACCCTACTAGCTCACAGCTACAAAGCTCCAAAGTGGTGGACTATTTTGGTTATCTCTTTCCATTTTCTTTCTTCGTTTCCTACCACTAAAAAATTACTTAGAGTGGAGTTGTCATAGCTACCATAACTACTATTATTTGTTATATTGGGTGTGTGCCTCCTGGTCCCTTTTGGGTGATATGCTGGGCAGTTGGTGTTGTAACATTGTTTTTCGAGGACTGAAGAATGACACATCTCAAGGTGGAAGAATCTGCAAGAGGTAGACGACACACTCCTTTAGACAGGAGGTCGCAGCATTTTTTGGGATGCTCAAAGTTGCATGTCCCATTTGGTTTCCCTGATATTCCATGCTTACAGATGCCCCAAACAGAATTTGCACCATTTTGTTTTTGGCTGGGTACAATTCGTACTGGATGTATTCCTAATCTGTGTAGATCCTAAAACTGCACTACAGTCCTCCATACCCAAACCAGAGACACCACCATCCATTGTCAGGAGGCCAACATTTTTTTCTGGAAGAGGACTGCTCTACCACATCTGTACTAGGGGCTATGGTTGTGGTGGCTGTAGAAGGGTCTTTAGCTGAATCCGGATTTGCACTGTGGCTGGGGGCTGCGTCTGGGTCAGCCCTAGGGCTGGTGACTGAGCTAGCATATTTTTTTGTTTCCTGTGTTTTTTTCCAGTAGGTGTCTGTTTATTTTTGGGCTAACTATTGTAGACTGGGCATTCTGTGTGTTAAACTTTACTCCTCTCCTATCCTCCCTTACTCTATATATTTTGGGTAGACAATCCAATAGTGCCTCTTTTTTTCATGTTTATTGTTCATTAATCTCCTGAGTGCTTTCCTGATATCTGTCCATAGTTCCACATCCTTATTGCAGATCCAGAAACACCTTTCTAGATGGATATAATTTTTGGACGCCGTGTTTATTCTTGCACAGGTGGCTTGATGTTTTGAAAAGCAAAGGTTGCATAAGATTCTGGATTTTTCCCCTAGAGCCTTTTCACATATGCCACAGGTATGCTGTACTGCCATCCTTTCTGTATCCTATTTGCAACTGGGTACCACAAGAACCTAGTGGTGGTCGAGTGGTGGTAGATGGTTAGTGTTTGACGGGCGGTGGTGGACGGGTGGGGGTGGACGGGTTATGGTTGATGGGTGGTGGTGGACATTGGAGATTGACGGGTGGTGGTGAACGGGTGGTGGTTGATGGGTGGTGGTTGACGGGTGTGGTGTGGATCTCATATTTACTGAAGTAATATGGGTTCAAAGGGGATAATAGACGTATTTTCAGTTGACATATTATTAGTTGAGAGGATTTTTGCTTCTTATTAACAGACCGATTGTCTTCCACCAATGTAGGGTGACTCAAAAAGAAAAAAGAAAACACATTCACCGTCTTTCATTCGATAACTGTTCTACCAGAAGTGTGTTGACATCACACCTCAGATGACTCGCCAGACTGCAGCATCCTCGCCCTTCCTTCAGAATGCAAGCACTGTATTTCCCATCTTTGGGATTGAAATGGGGATAACTGGTTTCCCTGAATCCCTTCATAAATGTTAACTTGTTCTCACTCCAACAGCTTATATGAGCTCTAAAGCGCTCATATAAGCCTGTTGAATGTTCAAGCCCCTCTAAACTTTCCTGGTACGATTCCTGCCCCTCCTTCCCTCCGCCCCAACAACCCTGAAACCACCTCAACAGCCCCTTCCTTATGGGAATTATACTTTTGGTAACGCTACTCCTCAAATTTCTCCACTCTCCGACTTTTCTGCATAATAGACCCATCACAACTTGTCTTCAAACACGATATCCTAGTTGCCTTCAGTGTCCTCGTTGCAATGTCTAAAACCCAAGTTTCGCATCCACACAACAGTCCTGGTACCTCTAAACTCTGGTACATTCTTGTTTACGCCTCACTGAATAAAGTTCTTTGCCTACACAGATACCTCAGTCCACCACCCATCGTTTTTCCCTCTTCTTTTTCATGGTCTCCCTCGACTTTCATTGACCCATCCACCGATAGGTCCACTCCCAAAAATTTGAATACATTTGCTTCCTCCATACTCCTTTTTATCAACGAAATATCCAGGTTTTTAAATTCATTTGCTTCCCAGGGATATTACAGTTTTTAATCTCACTCTCAACACCTTTTTCATATTCTCAGCAAAAGTGTTGACAAATATTCATTCATTCTCTCGCTGGCTATCCTATGGCACTCCCATACCACTCTCTTCATCTCTCTCGTTTTCTTGACACCCACTATCCTATACCTACTAACTTCTACTTGGATCTCTAACACTGAATTCTTAACGCTACCCATAGTTCTTTACCTCCTGCTTTGTCATTACTGATACTCTCTCTCTCTCTCTCTCTCTCTCTCTCTCCTCTCTCTCTCTCTCTCTCTCTTTCTCTCTCTCTCTTGTCATCCAGTCTCCCTTACTGTATTTTATACTTTATTCACTTTCACCTCTCTCTTACCCACTGATGATATTCTCCCTGGACCCCATCTACCCGTTATTCTCACTGTATCTATCGCTAAATAATTATCTGATATAACTCTCGACCCTCTAAAATCATGCGCATCCAGAAACCTACCCATCAGCAGTTTATCTACTAACACATACTTTAACAAACTACTGTCTCTAAGTTATGTATAAGAACTGACTGTACCTAACCTAACCTTTTGCTCCCCATTATCGTTTACCCCTGGTACTCAACGCTTATCTTCCACACTCTCTACAATAGTTTCTCTCACCACAGCATTTAGGATCCTTACAAAAAAATGTATCCGCTTGATTTAAAGCTTTCTAAATAGTCACTTAGCACCTAGCAAAGTTTCTCTCTCTCTTCTCTACACTCCTCATTTCCCCAGGTACATAAACACTTACTATAACCTAGATATCACATTCCATTCTTAGTCTAATTCACATTATTCTTTGATTTCAACACTAAAACTCCTCGTTTTCTTCTATACTTGACTATTATAGATTGCAGACACCCTTTCCTCTGATGTACCCGATTCAACAATAATGAATTTCTCCCACCCTCATGAGCTTCACTTCACTAAACGCTAGGACATCCTGATTATTTTCCTTCACAACAATAACAGTCATTTTTTATTCTCATCTGTACTTCACACACATTAAATTAACCTAATTTTATTTTCTTCTTTTTCTTTAGGATATTTTCTCTCGACATTTTTGTCGCTTTTTACATTGATCATTGCTTACAGAGGAAGAATTTTACTCCACTTTCTAATGGAATTGAAAGAAAACGTAAAAGGACAAGAACTATTAAGAAATTAAAAGGAATGAGACAGTAGGGACACAGTTTCTGCAACTGAGATAACACTCTCACATAACTACTGGTTATAAAATCATCCTGCTGTGACTGAGTGGGTCCAGCAGTGAGCCTGCAATACATATATTTACAATGGATCATGTCGTTGCACATTTATGAATACAGTATTCAGGAAATTACATGCATGTAGATTTGTGAAGGACAAGAAAACTCTTAGATCAGGTCTAGGAGATCCTCTAGCCACTCTGACGTCGGTGTGGAACACAAGATGCAGCAGGTATTCCCGATATGGATGGCCACACTGATGCGCTGGATGAGAAAAGTGGCGTACCACGGGGTCTCTGGTGGTTTCCATAAACCACCTGAAACCTAGATCTTTGAGGAAATCCATGGCATCGTTTCTCCATGAGCGAAGATAGATAGATTAGATAAATAGATAAACGGTTAAATAGATATTTACTCCTCCTTTCCGGAAGACAGTACCTCACCTGCGAGTGAGGTGTACGGAGGCCGCCCGCACCTCCGTTGAAGATGTAAACAACGCCGCCTCTGTTCCTTCCTGCATAGGGAGCAGCAACAGCTACGTCTGCAAAGTTAGTAAAAATTATTGATATGGACTTTTCTTCATGGTATCCAGTATATTGTAAAACTAAGATAAGATAGGATAACTCCCAAAAAAATGAAATACCTTTACCATTACTCATTTAACAGCTGATTTGCAGGAAGTGTGCAGACATCAAAAATTAGTTTCGGTAATATTCCCACTAATAATAAAACTTGCATGAAGACAGCATTTAAGTACTTAGCTTTTTCGGAGTTCATGTCAGGCTAACTGGCTACCCAGAATACTTTGTAAATGTTACTTTGCTCACAGGTTTTTTTTTTTTTTTTTTTTTTTTTTTTTTTTTTAATGTGGCCCGGTGGCCTGGTGGCTAAAGCTCCCGCTTCACACACGGAGAGCGCAGGTTCGATTCCCGGCGGGTGGAAACATTTCGATACGTTTCCTTACACCTGTTGTCCTGTTCACCGAGCAGCAAATAGGTACCTGGGTGTTAGTCGACTGGTGTGGGTCGCATCCTGGGGGACAAGATTGAGGACCACAATGGAATTAAGTTAGACAGTCCTCGATGACGCACTGACTTTCTTGGGTTATCCTGGGTGGCTAACCCTCCGGGGTTAAAAATCCGAACGAAATCTCTCTCTCACTCCAACAGCACGTTAAATCACACGTAACAGTTCCTTCTGCTCATCCTGAATTACCGCACACACACACAGTTGAACTGGTCAGTAAGTGGACTGAAGTATTAGAGATAAAGAGAAGATTTTGATAAGTTGAGAACTATTGGTGAAGAGATGAAGATAAAGGAAAAGTGAGATTTATTAGAAGCTGAAAGCCAAAAGAAAGTATAGAGAAAGTTGAAGCGGCAATAGGAAGGATGAAACTGAAATGAAAATATGAATGGTGAATCAGATTAATGGTAAAAGTAGGTGGGGATAGAACCGATTAATTCTGAAAGAATGTGAGGATTAGGTTTAGAAATGACTGATTTCTTCGTTTCATAGGAGAAGGAAACAAGGAAAGGTGAACAGGAATAGTTACTTTACGTGAGAGAATAGGAAAAAAAAGACAATATAAGACTGGGAGGGAAATAACCTTGTTTCCTGTGTGTTTTATGCCAGGATCATTATTGAAAGGAGGGTGGGAAAATTAGGGAAAAAAATAATTGCAAGGGAACAAATGGATTGTAGATGGCAAAATGTCCTAGCGTGGACTCCTAACACCACTAATTACTAATACTTACAGTGACTGACAAACTGCCAACACACACTCTCGCAGTGACTTGCGCGAGAGTGTGTACTCACCTACTTGTACTCACTTTTTTGTGGTTGCAGGGGTCGATTCATAGCTCCTGGCCCCTCCTCTTCACTAATTGCTACTGGGTCCACCCTCTCCCTGCTCCATGAGCTTTATCAAATCTCGTCTTAAAACTATGTATGGTTCCCGCCTCCACTACGTCACTTTCTAGGCTATTCCACTGCCTGACAACTCTATGACTGAAGAAATACTTCCTAACATCCCTTTGACTCATCTGAGTCTTCAACTTCCAATTGTGACCTCTTGTGTCTGTGTCCCATCTCTGGACATCCTGTCTTTGTCCGCCTTGTCTATGCCGAACAGTATTTTATATGCCGTTATCATGTCTCCCTTGACCCTCCTGCCCTCCAGTGTCGTCAGGCCGATATCCCTTAACCTTTCTTCGTAGAACAATCCCCTTCGCTCTGGGACTAGTCTTGGTCCAAACCTTTGCACTTTCTCTAATTTCTTGACGTGGTTAACCAGGTGTGGATTCCAAACTGGTGCTGCATACTCCAGTATGGGCCTGACGTAAATGGTGTACAAAGTCTTGAACGATTCCTTACTGAGGTATCGGAACATTATCCTTAGGTTTGCCAGACGACCGTAAGCTGCAGCAGTTATCTGATTGATGTGCGCCTCAGGAGATGTGCTAGGTGTTATACTCACCGCAAGATCTTTTTCCTTGAGTGAGGTTTGCAGTCTTTGGCCACCTAGACTATATTGGTCTGCGGTCGTCTTTGCCCTTCCCCAGTCTTCATGACTTTGTATTTGGCAGGGTTAAATTCAAGGAGCCAATTGCTGGACCAGGCTTGTAGCCTGTCCAGGTCTCTTTGTAGTCCTGCCTGATCCTCAACCGATTTGATTCTCCTCATTAACTTCACATCATCTGCAAACAACGATACTTCTGAGTCTATCCCTTCCGTTATGTCATTCACATATACCAAAAACAGCACAGGTCCTAGGATTGACCCCTATGGAACCCCGCTTGTCACAAGCACCCACTCTGACACCTCGTCACGTACCATGACTCGTTGTTACCTCCCTGTGAGGTATTCTCTGATCCATTGCAGTGCCTTTCCTGTTATGTGTGCCTGATCCTTTAGCTTTTGCAGTAACCTCTTGTGAGGAACTGTGTGGAAGGCCTTCTTACAGTCCAAGAAAATGCAGTCTATCCACCCCTCTCTCTCTTGTCTTACTTCTGTCACCTTGTCATAAAACTCCAGTAGGTTTGTGACACAGGATTTTCCTTCCCTGAAACCGTGCTGATTGTCGATTATACACTTGTTTCTTTCCAGGTGCTCCACCACTCTCCTGATGATCTTCTCCATGACTTTGCATACTATACACGTTAGTGACACAGGTCTGCAGTTTAATGCCTCATGTCTTTCTACTTTTTTAAAAACTGGACTATATTTGCCATCTTCAATACCTCAGGGAGTTGCCCAGTTTCGATGGATGTGTTGAAGATCTTTGTTAGCGGCACACGCAGCATCTCTGCTCCCTCTCTAAGGACCCATGGAGAGATGTCTGGTTCCACCACCTTTGAGGTGTCAAGTTCGCATAGCAGCTTCTTTACCTCCTTCTCGGTTATGTGTACCTCATCCAGCACTTGTTGGTGTACCCCCCTGTTCTGATTTCCTGGAGTCCCACCGGATTCCACTGTAAATACTTCTTTAAATCTCGTGTTGAGCTCCTCACATACCTTTTGGTCATTTCTTGTGAACTCCCCACCATCCTTCCTCAATCTGATTACCTGGTCCTTGACTGTTGTTTTCCTCCTGATGTGGCTATACAATAGCTTCGGGTCAGACTTGACTCGATGCTATGTCATTTTCATATTGTCCCTGATCCTCCTTTCTTATCTGTGCATATTTGTTTCTGGCTCTTCGGCTAATCTTTTTATTTTCCTGGGTCCTTTATCTTTTGTACTTTTTCCATTCTCTAGTATACTTAATTTTTGTCTCCCTACACCTTTGGGTGAACCAAGGACTCATTCTGGTCTTCCCATTGTTTCTGTTTCACTTGGGAACAAACCTCTCCTCTGCCTCCTTGCATTTTGTTGTCACATAGTCCATCATTTCTTGTACTGCTTTTCCTGTCAGTTCTCTCTCCCACAGAACGTCTTGCAGGAAGCTCCTCACGCCTGTGTAGTTCCCCCTTTTGTAGTTTGGTTTTCCCATCCTATTCCTGCTACTCTCTCTATTTGTAGCTCAGCTATGTAGTCAAAGCACAGAACCACATGATCACTACCTCCTAGGGGCCTTTCGTACATGATATCCTCGATGTCTGAACTACTCAAGGTGAATACAAGGTCCAGTCTTGCTGGATCAGCCTCACCTCTCTCTCTCTCTCTGGTAGTGTCTCTAACATGTTGATGCATGAGGTTTTCCAGTACCACATCCATCATCTTGGCTCTCCATGTTTTGGGACCCCCATGGGGCTCCAGGTTTTCCCAGTCAAACTCATTGTGATTGAAATCACCCATAACTAGTAACTTTGCTCCCCCCATGTGAGCTTTAGTGTGTCGACCATTGCTCTGTTGCTCTCGTCGTATTCTTCTCTTGGCCTCCTGTAGTTCTGTGGCAGGTTATACATTACCGCAATTACCACTTTATGGCCCTCAGACTGGATTGTTCCTCCTAAGTAGTCCCTTTCTCCCATGCCATGCATTCCTTCCATTTTCTCAAATCCCCACCGGTTTTTAATGAGCAGTGCAACTCCTCTCCCCCCTCTGTCTTTCCTGTGGATTTGATATCTTGGTGAAAAGATTACGTCTGTTATCATCCTGGTGAGTTTTGTTTTTGTGAGTGCTATTATGTCTGGGGATGTCTCCTTGATTCTTTCAGGCCACTCCTCACACTTACTTGTTATTCCATCTGCATTTGTACACCACACCTTCAACTTCTTTTCTAGAACTGTGGTCTGGGGAGTATGTTGAGGTTGGGGAAGTGGGAGACCTGATAATGAACTATGGGTGGTTGCTGTGGGGGTGGAGTTTGTAATGAGGTGTGTGGGGGTATTGGATATTGTATGTGTGTTGTGAGTTCGAATGTTTGGTTGTATTGGGGTTGTCCTGGTTGGGGGGCTTCTGTAGGTAGTTGTGAGGGAGGCTGTATTTGATCTTCCTCCTGAGTCTGGGTTCTCCTGTCCATCTCCATCTTCTCCTCTCTTTGCTCCTTTCACCTTTGTATCATCTCTCTCAGTTTCTGCCTTTCTTCATGTGTTCTGTCGTGGTCGAGATACACCTTCCGGTATGCCGGCATGTCACTTAGTCTTGCTTTCTCCTGCAGGATCCTGTTCTGAGTCGATTCTGCATTGAAAGTCACTTTCACTGGTAAGGTTCTTCTTCTTGCAAACCCTCCTATTTACCAAAAATTTGCCAGCTGGGTCATGTCATCTTCTCTTATTGCTTTTATGTGTTCTCACCTAGTTGAGGTTGCAGGAGTCGAGTCCTTTCTCCTGGCCCCCGCCTCTTCACTGGTCGCTACTAGGTCACTCTCCCTGAACCTTGAGTTTTATAATATCTCTGCTTAAAGCTATGTATGGTTCCTGCCTCCGCTACATCGCTTCCCAAACTATTCCACTTCCTGACTACTCTGTGGCTGAAGAAATACTTCCTAACATCCCTGTGATTCATCTGTGTCTTCAACTTCCAACTGTGTCCCCTTGTTGCTGTGTCCCATCTCTGGAACATCCTGTCTTTGTCCACCTTGTCAATTCCTCTCAGTATTTTATATGTCGTTATCATGTCCCCCCTATCTCTCCTGTGTATATGTATGCGCGCGCGCGCGCGCGCGCGCGCGTGTGTGTGTGTGTGTGTGTGTGTGTGTGTGTGTGTGTGTGTGTGTGTGTGTGTGTGTGTGTGTGTGTGTGTGTGTGTGTGTGTGTGTGTGTAAAACACTCACCATCATATCCATCACGGTCAACATCGCCGAGAGAGGTGACTGCCGCACCGAAGCGTCCCCAAGCATCAGTCCCAGACACCTGTGATGGAGGGAGCTTGTCTGCATCCTGGGGGAGGAGAGTCAGTAAAAGAAGAGGGAAATATATTATAGGAGATATAGAAAAGGAAAGGAAAGGAAAGAGAGAGAGAGAGAGAGAGAGAGAGAGAGAGAGAGAGAGAGAGAGAGAGAGAGAGAGAGAGAGAGAGAGAGAGAGAGAGAGAGAGAGAGAGAGAGAGAGAGAGAGAGAGAGAATATCCAGCTTTTTCTTAAATCCATGGACATAAAACTGTCTGGACAAAAACACCAAGTCTCCTTCCTGAAGTTGTTGACTATCGTGTACGAACCTTCACTCACTTCTATCTCTTGCTAGCACAAGATAAATAGTCCTCTTTATGGAAGAAATCTTATGCAACCTACCTTAAAAACAAAGAAATAACCAGGCAGGAACAACATCTGTAGACCATTGTCACCGATGTCATTCAATAATGATCAACATCTGTAGACCATTGTCACCGATGTCATTCAATGATGATCAACATCGTGGAGGCTCACAGAACTGATATGCATATTTTGTTTCATGTCTACAGAGATAGCTTTTCCGATGTTCCTAAATTGTGCATAATAAACGCACATGATATACATGTAGGCGAAGCTAAATTGAGTATATTGTCTCCGTAAAAACCGAATCCAAAAAGTTGAAAGAAAAGCAAGAGGATATTTAGTATCTCCTGGAGTCTTTGTTTTGTATGGAGGTTTTGATATCCTCTCTTATCTTTATGCCGATGTCAGTAGCACTCCACACTGATACACTTCTCTATCATGACTTTTGTAGTGGAGTTGACATCCTCCTCAAGTCAGTTCCTGAGCAGAAGTATCGTTAGGAGCAGGTCATCTGTCACATTGCTCATACTCCACACGGTTTTGTGTGGAAGGTTTGATATCCTCTGTAAGTCAGTCTGAGACGAGGTGCCGGTAGGAATAGGTCTCGTGTCAGACTGAACTTTGTACTCCACACTACTTCCGTGAGTGGGTGTTGATATCCTCTTCACAAGTTAAGATGTCGTCAGAAGTAGGCTTCCTATAAGGTTTGATATCTCAGTACGTCCACACGGCTTTTGTGCGGAGATGTGATAACCTTGCTCTTGACGTACTAAGGCCATTATAGTCTTAAGCCTTTGAAAGTCGAGCTTCTAACTTTGCTAACCATTTCTAACTCAGATTAATACTGAGGTTTTAAACGCTTAATCCTTCGAAAGTCGGGACACTGACTTTGCCAGCTCTTACTACTTCCAAAAATGTACCATTCTTGCCCACCTAGACTCAGGAATATAATTCAGATTATCTTGTACATTATTTCCTGCAAGATTTTATTTAAATTCATGTTCGCTTTTTTATTCTTTCATTGTTTTGCATTATTAGGAATGGGGAAAACAGACTGTCAGTCAGGGAGATGAGTTCCTGATATGACAGGTTAGGTTAGGTAAAGTTAGTCAGGAAACAAGACAAGCGTTTCGGATGATGATCCGCGTTGGAGCTTTTGGTTATCTGATCGAGGCCTTCCGCTGGCTTACCGGTCCACCCCTTTAAAAATTATGGTGATAGTTATAACCATTTTTTGTTCTTATATGACAGGGTAAAAGTTTAGTTGGCAATATGCAGCTCATTCAGCTTTCTGTTATAGGACATTCAACCTGTATTCGGCACACCACACTAAACCACTATCTGCATCTCCACTTAGTCAGCTAGAATCACAATTAGCCATATCCTTCCAGGGTGAGTCTACTAACCTAGTTCAGGTGGGATTCACTAGGTGCTGTGGCCTTCTGATGTTTCAGAGGCAGGGTTTGTGACCAGAAAATTACCTTACTTCAGACAACCAGACTCTCTCACGCCTATATCTGGTTCAACATCGCACTCAAATCTACCTCTATGTATGGGTACATTATGTTGTTGAAGGTGATCTCCTTTTCTTTCTTTCTCCAAAACTCTATTCACTATATGGTTTAACCTATCAGTTAACACTGTACATAATAGTACCCTTAAGCACATACGTTCTAGTGTCGGGAATGTGTGTTAAACCACAGCAATTCGACTGTGCATACTTCACGCTTCACGACATAGTACTGCAAGCCTTCGACCAGTACTTGGGTTCTTTATAATGATCGTGTTTTTTGAGCATTTGCGAAGCACTGATTAGGCTCTTGCAATTTAATATTGTATGTTGATTATCTTGCAAGGCAGAGGAGGCACCGAAATGAGCTATCACTACCAGCACCATCCCCACTCGCACACCACCAAAACCCTCACCAGGTCCCACCGTTACCCCATCAACAAAAGCAAGTAACTCGAACCAAGGGAGAGTAATAGAGGAAGATCTTGCCAGCGTCTGGGAGGAGTTTGTCTCCTGCCCTGGCTAGAGGCGCCCCCACCAGGAGGTCATCAACACCATCACCGTCCACATCTGCTGACCCTAGACAGTAGCCGAACTGGGCACCCATCTCCTGCCCGTACAAGATGTAAAGGGGCGTCACTGCTGATAACATTTTCTTAGGATAGAAGCTGATCTGTAAAGAAGTTAAGATTGTCTTTAGCTGGACGAGAGACAGTTACGTGATTGATGGTGGTTAATGGGGTGACTGATGGTGGTTGACGGGGTAATTGATGGTGGATGATGAAGTGGTTAATGGTAGCTGAGGGAAATGGTTGATGGAGTGATTGGTGAGATTGTTCTGGGTGGATAATGGAGCGGTTAACAGGGTAGTTGTGGTTGGTGGTTGTGGTGGTATGGGTTGATGTGGTGGTTACCGAGTGGTGGTTGATGAGGTGATTGTGGTGATGTGAGTTGAAGAAGTGATTGTGGTGGTCAGTGGGTGGTGGAGGTGAATGGATTCAATGGCATGGTAGCGGCGGTGGTGCTTGATGGGGATGCTAAAGACATGAGTTGTGACGGTGATTGATACCCAAGTGTTGCACGTATGTCTAATTTATCAACTTGTCGGTTCTCTGAACCATTTATCAACACTGACTGAGTTGTTGTGATTGTGGTGCAGGTACACTTACCTTGCCGGTGTAGTTGCCGTAATTGACAGAAGAGGTGGCGATGAAGTAGGTGGAGCCACTGTCAAACTTGCCCAGCACCACGGACCATCCCTCGTACGTGTGACTGAGTGTCAGGGTGGGTGTGTCAGGCGTTTTCTTGTCACGGTTGAGGCTATGAACTGATCCATCCAGTGGCTTGTTCACCAGCATTCCTGCCGTGGGAGGAGACAGAGGTGGATGTATCTCAATGCGTTCAGAGCATTGTCATACATTAAAGTCATAAGAAGGAGGAGCACTGTTGCAGGCCTGCCGTTCCATACTAAGCAGGTGTAACTCACAACCACCCACACACACGTGTGTAACGGTTAGATATCTATTCTGGAACGTCTCATCTACACAGCAGGCAACTTCAGTCGAAGATTGAGACACTTATGCAGCATATGAGAATCTTTATTCAGGAAACGTTTCGCCACACAGTGGCTTCATCAGTCCAATACAAAGAGGAAGGCATAAGGAGAGGAGGAGTATGAGGTAATCAGTCCCTCAGCCTGGAGTCGATGTGTTCAGTCCATCATAACTTCAGTCGAGTACAGAAAAGTTGGCAGAGCCAGTAGAGATAGATGTAAGAACATGAGAAAGGAGGAACGCTGCAGCAGGCCTGTTGGCCCATACTAGGCAGATCCTTCACAAATCCATCCCACTAGCAGAATATTTGCCCAACCCATTTTCAACGCTACCCAAGCAATAAGCTTTGATAAATCTATTTACTCATGTGCAAGTCCCACTCAAATCCAACCCCTCTCATTCATAAGAACATAAGAAAGAAGGAACATTGCAGCAGGCCTACTGGCCCATGCGAGGCGGGTCCAAATCTCCTACCGGCTTAAGCCAATGACCCAACCTAGTCAGGTAAGGTCACATTCACTTAAGGAAGGAGCACGACATCAGACTTAGTAGCACAAGCTAGTCAGGTCCAACTCACACCAACACACACCCACTCATGAATTTATTTAACCTATTTTTAAAACTACACAACGTTTTAGTTTCTATGAGAGCACTCGGGAGTTTGTTCCACTCAGTGGTGACCTGTACATAGCTCAGTGAGGACATGTCTAGTGGACTGAACCAAAATGCCGTCCATTGAGCAACTTTACTAGCAGCTTAAGGACGAATTGAGGGTAGCGAAGGTTGAGATACGGCGACTGACGGAGGAAAACAAGAGGATCCATAGTAGTCCTCCTGTTGTAAATCCACAGGTCAAGAAGGGAACCTGGGCAGTGGCCGGGCAGCAGGGAACGAAGTTGAAGATCAAGAAGACGAATGGAGAGGTATAAACGATGAAGAAGAAAGAGACTGCTGTGGAAACTGCTGTGGAAACATCGAACGCATTCTCTGTGCTACCGGATGAATGTGAATCTACTACTGGGAACGTCACGACAGTCAGGTTAGGTACAAGGATAGGGCCTCTGCTTGAAGGATAGGAGTAGAAGACAGACGGCATGCTTTCCTGGGGCTAGGATGGAGGATATTGGTTTAGAAAGACACGTAAGCAAACACTATGACGTATTTATTAGAAAACGTTTCGGTCCTGGGACCTTGATCAATTCTAACTTACATGTATAGGTAACTTACATATAGGTAGTAGGTTGGTAGACAGCAACCACCCAGGGAAGTACTACCGTCCTGCCAGATGACTGTGAAACAAAAACCTGTAACTGTTTTGCATGATGGTAGGATTGCTGGTTTCTTTTTCTGTCTCATAAACACGCTAGATAACAGGGATATCTTGCTACTCCTACTTAAACTTTGGTCACACTTCACAGACACGCACATGCATATATATATACATACATCTAGGTTTTTCTTCTTTTTCTAAATAGCTCTTGTTCTTCTTTATTTCTTCTATTGTCCATGGGGAAGTGGAAAAGAATCTTTCCTCCGTAAGCCATGCGTGTCGAATGAGGCGACTAAAATGCCGGGAGCAATGGGCTAGTAACCCCTTCTCCTGTAGACATTTACTAGAAAAGAGAAGAAAAACTTTATAAAACTGGGATGCTTAAATGTGCGTGGATGTAGTGTGGATGACAAGAAACAGATGATTGCTGATGTTATGAATGAAAAGAAGTTGGATGTCCTGGCCCTAAGCGAAACAAAGCTGAAGGGAGTAGGAGAGTTTCAGTGGGGGGAAATAAATGGGATTAAATCTGGAGTATCTGAGAGAGTTAGAGCAAAGGAAGGGGTAGCAGTAATGTTAAATGATCAGTTATGGAAGGAGAAAAGAGAATATGAATGTGTAAATTCAAGAATTATGTGGATTTTAAAATAAAGGTGGATGCGAGAAGTGGGTCATAATAAGCGTGTATGCACCTGGAGAAGAGAGGAATGCAGAGGAGAGAGAGAGAGATTTTGGGAGATGTTAAGTGAATGTATAGGAACCTTTGAACCAAGTGAGTGAGTAATTGTGGTAGGGGACCTGAATGCTAAAGTAGGAGAAACTTTTAGAGAGGGTGTGGTAGGTAAGTTTGGGGTGCCAGGTGTAAATGTTAATGGGAGCCCTTTGATTGAAACTTTGTATAGAAAGGGGTTTAGTTATAGGTAATACATATTTTAAGAAAAAGAGGGTAAATAAGTATACAAGATATGATGTAGGGCGAAATGACAGTAGTTTGTTGGATTATGTATTAGTAGATAAAAGACTGTTGAGTAGACTTCAGGATGTACATGTTTATAGAGGGGCCACAGATATATCAGATCACTTTCTAGTTGTAGCTACATGAGAGTAAAAGGTAATGGGATACAAGGAGAATAGAAGCATGGGAAAGAGAGAGGTGAAGGTTTATAAAACTAAAAGGAGGCATTTGGGTAAGATTTAAAAGCTATTGGAGGTGATGGGCAATGAGGATAGGAATGGGGTCAAAGGGGTATGGGGTGGGTTTTTAAAAATTATGTTAGAGTGTTCAGCAAAATTTTGTGGTTAAGGAAAGGGGGTGCAGGAGGGAAGGGGAGCGATTGGTGGAATGTTGATGTAAAGGAGTGTAAGGGAGAAAAAGTTGCATAGGGAAAAGTTTTTACAATAGAGTGATGCAAGGGGGAAGAGTTAGGAGAAAAAGAGAGAGGTTAAGAGGAGTGGTGAGCAATGAAAAAAAGAGAGCAAAGAGAGAGGGGGTGAGAGATCCAAATTTTGTTGAAATAAAAAAAATTTTTGGAGTGAGATTAACAATTTAGAAAGCCTGGGAAAAACAAATGGATTTGTCAGTTAAAAATGGAGGGGAAAGGTTTTAAAGGGAGAGTTAGAGGTATTGGGGAAAGGATGGGGGGAAATTTTTTTGGGGGAATTTGGGTTAATGTTGATGAAGATAGGGAAGCTGGTTTCGTGTATAGGGCAAGGAGGAAATAACATCTTTTAGGAGTGAGGAAGACCCTTTGGGTGTGGGGGGGAAGTTGTGAGGCAGAGGTAAATAAAAGGGGGAAAGGCACCCGGGATTGAGGGGAAAAAAGTAGAAATGTTAAAAAGCAGGTGGGATATAGTTTTGGGGGGTTTGGGTTTGCAATTATTTAATAAATTTTGGGAAGAGGGTAAGGCCTAGGGTTTGGAAGGAGCATCATATTTTCTTTGTAAAAGGAAAAGGGGAATAAAAAAGAGTCCCAAAAATTATGGGGGGATAATTTGTTGAGTTATACGGAAAAAGTGTATGGTAGAGTTATAATTAAAAGAATTAAGAGTAAGACGGAGAAAGATTGGGGAAAGGAAAAAGGAGCTTTAGGAAAGGTAGGGTGTTTTGGACAGTTTTTTCCCGTGAAAAATTAAGTGAACGTTTTTAGTAAGGCTAAAGAGGTTTTGTGGCATTTTGGTTTGGGGAAAAGGGCGTAAAACGGGGGGATGGGGGGCAATGTGGCAGTGTTGAAAGTGTATGGTGTAGGAGGTAGGTTACTAAAACAGTGAAGAGTTTTTACGGGATGTGAGGCTCAAGTTAGGATGTGGGAAAGGGGGGAAATTTTTTTTCCCAGTAAAAATAGGCCTTGACAAGGGGTGTGTGATGTCACCCTGGTGGTTTTTTATATTTATAGATGGGGTTGTAAGAGAAGTAATGCGGGGTCTTGGAAGAGGCGTGGAGTTAAAAAGATAAAGAATCACACATAAAGTGGGGGTTGTCACAGCTGCTCTTTGTGTGCACTGTGTTTGGGGGGGGTTTTGAAGAGAGTTGCAGAGTTGGTGGATGAATTTTGGTGGGTGTGCAAAAAAAAGAAAATTAAAGGTGAATAAAAGGAAAGGTAAAGGGTTTTGAGGATAACAAAAAGATTAGGGATGAAAGATTTGGTATCAGATTGGAGGGGGGGAGTAGGAGGGGTGAACGTTTTCAAATTTTGGAGTGGACGTGTCAGCGGTGGGTCTAGAAAGATGGGTGAATCATGGGTTTATGGGGAAAAAGAAGAGTGTGCCTTAGGGTTTTGTGGAGAAAAAAGAACTTTTTTTCCTTTGGGGGCAAAGAGGGGAATGTATGAGGTATAGTTTTACCCCGCTCTTTATGGGTTTTGAAGGTGGGTGATGAAAGTTGCAGCGAGAGAAGGTGGAGGCAGTGGGATGTCTGTCTGAGGGCAATGTGTGGTGTGAATATAAGCAGAGAATTCGTTTGTTTGGAAGTTAGGAGGGGTGCGGAAATTTCCAAACTGGTGTCCAGAGGGCTGAGGAAGGGTTGTTTAGGTGGTTCGGCATGTAGAGAGAAATGGAGCGAACAGAAAGACTTCAAGGTGTATCAGTTTGTGGAAGGAAAGGGGGGGGTAGGGGGGGCCTAGGGAAAGGTTGGAGGGAGGGGGTTTTAAAGGGGGTTTTGTGTGCGAGGGGCTTGGATTCCGCAGGCATGCGTGAGCGTGTTTTTATAGGAGGTGAAAGGGAAAATGGTTTTTAATATTGACGTGCGTTTGGGTGTGAGCAAAGTAAAAATTTTGAAGGGATTCAGGGAAACCCGGGAGGCCGACTTTAGTCCTGGAGTGGGAAGTACGTGCCTGCACTCTGAAGGAGGGGTGTTTAAAGTTTCGTTTTAAAAATGTGTGTAAAGCACCCTTCTGGGAAGGGGCAGTGTGGAGTGATGATGGTAAAAATTTTTTTTTTTTCGGGCCCCCCTGCCTTGGGGGGGAATCGGCCAGTGTGATTTAAAAAAAGATGTATGTTGTATGTTAATGTTCGCCGACCATGTTGGCAGGGCCCAAATTT